AGAGGGCCCGTGGCAGACGGCCATTTCTATCTCTTTCCATTCAATGGTATAATGGGAGAGAGAATGAGAGGGAGATTGGCCGTCTCCCATGGTCCCTCTCTCTCATTATTGTCGACCACATTTTATATATTACTTAGATACGGATCGTGCATTCCATTCTCTGTGTCTTTGATTTTATCCTATACATTCTATCTCACATTATCCTACACGTCTTATCTTGTTTGACATAGTTTAAAAGCAGTTTCATAGCATGTCGGCCATGTTTAGTACTCTCCCTAGCACCTTTATCATACTGACTTAACAAAATAAAGTGAATAAAGGGCAATTAAGAGCTAAATCGCAGTAATTCGTGCGCAATTAAGTAAATATATATTCAATAAATTATCCAATTACATGTACGTTTCGGCTTCATTTAAGCCATCTTCAGCATATAATCTCTCATGGTATTACAATGTCTTAGCAGACGTATATAACTTCCTTCGTCATAATGAAGTAGTAGTATAACAAAAAGTAATCGAGTGTAGTGAGTTACCGTCGCGATTGAATGAGATGAATACAACCATAAGATGCTCAATTTGTTGGAGGGTAATGACACATACACAGTTATCAGTAGGGATCCAACTAGAAAGCTAACTGAGTCCGTTAGAACGTTATTGACAAGATGGAAAAATTATGGATATATTGACGCGAAAATGTATAAGAGATTGTACTGCAGTGATGGGATTTTGCCGAGGATTTATGGACTTCCAAAAATACACAAGGAGGGTTACCCTTTGAGAATCATCGTTTCGTCGATTGATAGCCCTCTTTATGAATTGGCTTCCCATTTACACAATATCATTTCGAGTAATGTCCCCAAACCAAAAAGCCATATTGACAACAGCTTTAAACTAGTGGATAAACTTAATGGCTTGAATTTGAATTGTAATTTTTCGTTGGTTTCATTAGACGCAACATCGTTATTCACAAACATTCCAATTAACCTAGCAATAAAAAGTGTGGAAAACAGATGGTGTTTCATTGCAAAGAAATGTAGTATTTCCAAAGAAGAATTTTTAAAAGCTCTAACACTAGTTTTGGAATCCACTTATTTCACATTTGACAAAAAATTTTACATTCAAAAATTTGGAACGCCCATGGGTTCTCCGTTGTCTCCCATCATTGCGGACTTGGTTATGGAGGATTTGGAGAATGAGGTTTTGGGGAGATTTAACACTGAGATACCTTTTTATTTTAGATACGTTGATGATATCGCCACTGCTATTCCCAACCATTTAATAGATGAATTTCTCAAGTTATTTAATTCTTTCCATTCAAGGTTACAGTTTACCTTAGAAAATGGTGGAGATAGATTGAATTTTTTAGACGTGACAATAATTAATATGAATGGGAAATTAGAATTCAATCTTTATCACAAGACAACTTTTTCTGGAAGATATCTTAGTTTTTTATCTCTTCACCCACTTTCTCAAAAAAGAGGTGTTCTTATGAGCATGGTTGACAGAGCCTTTTTATTATCACACCCAAAGTATCATTACAACAATTTCATTTTCATTATCAAGATATTTTTAGAGAATGATTACCCTTTAAAATTTATTTTTGACACGATCAACTCACGATTGGGATCTCTTTTTAAACATAAGACTCTCAAACAGACTGATAATTCTAATAATGATGAAAAAATAACTTCGTGGTTCACCATTCCTTTTTTACCATATATTTATGACAAATTCAAGAGCATTGTAAAAAAAGATTCTAATGTGAGAGTGTCCTTTTTTAGTTTGAATAAACTTGATGGAATTATTAAAGCACAAAAAGATGTTTTGCCTCATGACTCAAAGAAAAATGTAGTTTACAAAATCAATTGCAAGGACTGTAACGCTTCTTATGTTGGACAGACTGGTCGCAAGTTAAAGACTAGAATCAATGAACACAAAAAAGACATTAATAAAAAAAGTGGGAATTTTTCAGTTGTTTCGGAACATAAAATTGAATTTGACCATGATTTTGATTGGGAAAATATAAAAATTCTAGATAATGAGAGATTTTTTGGAAAGAGATGTGTCTCTGAGATGCTCAACATTAAAATGCAAGATAATGGAATTAATTTGAAATCAGACACAGAATTTTTGCACCATGCTTATACTAGCATTTTAAATAAATTCAATTAGACTTTAACATTTATTCACACTCCATACTCTATCTATTTATTTTCTTTATTTAATGACTTTGACTACCAGTACATTATTGTTGTTTCCTTGCTTATTATTTAGTCTTTCATGATTATTCGAAATTGAAACAGAATTGGAAAAAACGTTACTTAAGACACGTCGCACATATCACTTTAATTGCTTACGATGCTTAAAATATAGGTTTTATTGAACGTTATATAAATTATAGTTTTGTGTACAGTTTTTGAGTGCAGTGGGTAAGTCTCCAGAATCAAACAATTTGGTATTTTTATAGGATGAATGGTTATGATTTGTGTTGTTTTTAATTCATTTATATTTCACTTAGGTAATCACTTAATGATGGATATAAGCTTCAGACTTGGTAATCTGTAGACTTCTCACTGCACTCGATTACTTTTTGTTATACTACTACTTCATTATGACGAAGGAAGTTATATACGTCTGCTAAGACATCGTAATACCATGAGAGATTATATGCTGAAGATGGCTTAAATGAAGCCGAAACGTACATGTAATTGGATAATTTATTGAATATATATTTACTTAATTGCGCACGAATTACTGCGATTTAGCTCTTAATTGCCCTTTATTCACTTTATTTTGTGAAATAAACGTATATTTGTTTCACTTCAACTTATGGTAATGCAGCCCTAGTGCAGCGAAAAAGAACAGGCCTCTAGATTTATTGTTAATACGAAGATGTAAATAATAACTTTTTGTCTTGTATCAAAGAATATTATTTTACAAAAGCAAAAAATTGAAAAATGTCAAGTTTGGCTCTGCCAGTTAATTCTTCTGTCTTCATTGATATAATGTAAAACAGATATTATGGTTTGTGCATATCTATTAATAAAATGAATTTAATTATAGAATTCCAATTATGTGATAGAGAAAATTTTGCAAAAACTTACTGGCATCACCTACAATGTTTACTTCATAGAATGGCCACGATTATGGTGGCGGTGCCCTACTTTTAACGAGAGCATGCAATAATTCTGCTGTTTCAGTTGTGTATGGCGGTGGCATGAAAATTGTATTCAAATTCCCAATCACGTTGTCATAAACAATCCATTCACACGGTACAACATCCATACTTTTAGCCTTGCTTTTATCCTTTGCGATAGACTATATTAATTGGTAAATTGCACTGAAAGTTTCCATATTCTACAAAATAAATATAAATTTTATTATATCACAATTAATAAAGAAAGCAAATATTACAATAACTGACAAGGAAAGAGCCAGGTACATACAAATATTGAAAAGTTTGATATTAAGATAAAGTGCCTCACATTGTAAAAATAATATGCACATTAAAAAAATAACATTTAGGTGTCAATAGGCCAAAGGGTTAAAATTACAAAAGCGTTGAGTTTGGAATGATCGCAGAAAAGTTATCGATTATATCTCGTGGTTTCATTATAGGTTCCCTATAAGTAATATCAATTATTATATAGATTTTCAGCACTCGCAGGAATGCACCTTAGGTCAATGAAGCATTTGCAGCGTTAAATGAATCGTATCCAAAATGTACCTACTTGCATTGTTTATCTTTTTGTTTTACAATTTGAGGTTAGTTGATGTAGGTTATAGCGTTTTTCATTGGGTGCATTCAGCAGAAAAGAGCGCTACGGAACTATCCGCTGAATGGCACACTTTTCGCATCGCTCTCTCAACATGTTGTGGGAGCGGACGCCATCTTATTGAGCGGAAATATTTGTTGCTACTTCGATGGAACTCATCGCTACTTATCACATGTATATCTTTTGCAGTGTTTATAAAAGTGATACTTTGCTCAATTTTATCATGATGACTGAATATTTCGAGTCTGAATATAATTATAATGGCTTGCAATATAATGTTGTGGAATATGTTGTGGAATATGTTGTGGAATATTATTCAATATATTTATGTCAAGTCCATCATCGATCATAAATTGAAAAATTACGTTATTTATTATTAATTTTTTTGATAATTAATATTAACAAATCAATGTACCCAATGTTAAATACGTTTTCACGATTTTTGTAAACATAAGTAGGTACTATCCAGACGAAAGTAGGTAGGGTTACGTTAGGTTACGTTGTAGCAGAGCATTCAGAGAAATTAAGCGCTCCCTCTGTGAGCGATCTAGTAGCGCTCTTTTCTGCTGAATGCACCCATTGGCAGAACTAGTGCGCACTGAGTGCGCACTAGGCGCGGACTGCGTGTTTCATTGGGGGATTTCAGTACGTATGAAGATCGTGCGCGCTGTTTCATTGGTGAATCTAGTGTCGAGTGTTCGCCATTTTGTGCAAAAATCTGGCACGAGCTCCGAGAGACGGTGTCGGTTTCGTGCAAAATATGGCGGCGCGAATTGGTGAAAATCATTTGAATGAACAAACTATGGAAGTGATACTCGATTTTCTCTCGTCATCATCTAGTAGTGATGACGATTATTTATTCTCAAATGAAAAACGTGTTATCCCAAAAATACAAAACTTTTTAGAAGTAATATATGACTTTTCTGATAACGAGGTTAGTTTTTATTGTAGGTCATATATTACTTGTAAACAGATAACTAGAAGCAAATATTTATATTGATGTTCCAGTTTAAAAACAATTTTCGAGTTTCTCGAACAACAGCATATAAAATTGTAGATATGTTTGAAAATTCAGCATTCTATTGTAGTGATCAAAGTTACGGAGGTATTAAACCTACGTCTGCTGAAGTACACATTTTGTCATTTTTGTGGTAAGTTTGAAGTATTATTTTGTATACCTATATAGTTATTATTCAATTGCCACTCATATAACAAATATTAAAATCGATTTAAAAATATGTATAGGTTTGCTGGAAATAAAGTGTGCCTGAGAGATGTTGCACAGAGTTTTGGAATCTGTCCTGCTACAACTTATCGACATAATGATAGAGTTACAAATTTCTTATGTGATATAGCTAGCAACGTTATCAAATTTTCGGATAAAGAAACTACTACAAACGAATTCTTTGAAGTAAGTACAGATTTTATTGCATTAATATGGATTATCGTAAACACATTTAAGAGAATTTATATAGTGAATTATTTATTATCTATGTATAATATCTAGATTGCTGGTTTCCCTAAAGTGCTTGGCTGCATTGATGGCACATTTATTAAAATGCGAACACCAGCACACAAAATTAAATCGACGTACGTAAACAGGCATGATATTCCTTCAATGACGTTACAGGGTATATGCGATGCCCGTAAGAAATTTGTCGATGTATTTACAGGAATTCCGTCAAAGATTCACGACGCACGTGTTCTGAAATTGTCAGATGTATATGAGGCGTTACCAGGAATATATGAAGGCAATAAGTATCATATACTAGGAGACGCAGCCTATCCTATACGAGAATGGCTAATTGTCCCATATAAAGATTATGGAAATCTTTCCGAAAAGCAGATGTTCAACAAAAAATTTTGTGCTACACGCGTAAAAATTGAAAATACATTCGGACTACTGAAATGCCGCTTTCGGCAGCTCACTGAAATAGATATGCATAGTGCTGATAAAATTTCGAAATTTATCATTTCTTGTTGCGTGTTGCACAATTTATGTATTGATAACAATGATGATTTCAATTTTCCAATCGAACCAGAATATAATGTGAATGAGTCTTACAACGAAAGAGGAGAGCAGGAAGCTCTTCTACGTAGATTGGGAGAAATAAAGCGAAATTAACTCCTTGAAATAATGTTTCCTTGAAATAAATAAACGTATATTAATTGTAAATATCTTATTTCATAATACAATATATTAAAATACAATGTTTTCGTAAATGCTTTACTATTTTAACAATCGTAATAAATCTTTTAATAAATCAGACTTTTTTAATCAGACTTTTAATGAATACAATTATAACATAAATTATTAAATCTAAAGAACATATATTCTTTGCAGTACTAAAAAAATGACAACTTCTTACAAATGTAGGTAAAATACTAAACTATTTAGCTGCGCAGACTAAATTACAACAACTTCGTACCAACTTTTTTATCCTAATTAATAGATAATATTTTATAAAAGCTTTATATTTTTTGAATGAACATAAGAATATTCGTTTAAAGAGGTATTGTCTGTTAGTTGGAACAGCGCTTCCACTTTGTCTTTATTTAATAGAAATATTAAAAAAAATTTTTCGAAAGAAAATGTATCTTAATGCATCTGCATTAATAATGAAATAAACTGAAAACTCACAAATTTTTCTATAATTATTTAACATGTTTCGTATTATAAAATAACTGAAGAAGAAACTTGCAAACATATATTAATAACTTTCTTTCTTGCCAAACAATTCCTTTAAAAGTTGTAGTTTCTCTTGGTGTCTCCTTTCCTTCGCCTCCTCTTGTTGTTTAAATAATTCTAATTTTCATTCTTCATTGCTGAATTTACACTTTTTCTTTGGAGGAGAATCTTTGGCGTTTTTTCTTACGTCGTAGTATTTGAATCCTGATGTGATGAAATGATTTCGACTAGAGGCTTTTTTAGGTATTTCACAGATTTTGCACTTCTAAGTACTTATGGCTCAATGCTATCATCAACTTGGCTAATTTCTCTTAACTCTTCTTCAAATGGGACTTCTTCCCGCGAATTGCTTGATTTATGATTGTTTTCCACCGATTTCTTTTTTCGTTTCAGAACCGTTTTATAACGATTTTCAACCTGTAGTGGTGTTTTTGAAACATTACAATTTTTTTGCAATTCTTTTGAAATCTCTGCTCACATTGTCTTCTTCGATTTAAATTTTTTTATTGGGCCTATTTGAGAAAGGTATAATTTATATTTGTCTAGCATAAATACAGTTGCCGAATCAGTCCAAGAATCTGAAAAATAGTTGCACATATTATTTGAAAAATACAAATTATGATCTTTAACGAAATAAGTTGTATTTGTTTCGTTCTAGTATTAGCTGTATTATACACCACCTTGTATACGAGGGGCACTACTTATATTTTGAGCCTTGGCAACACTGAGTCTTGTCAGGTGCCATCGGACGTTTCCACTAGAAAGTTTGACATTTTTTACCATAACTTTCTTCAGAACGTTTTGTTATTTGAGCGCGATTTGTATTGTTTACATTCACTTAAAAATTGTGTCTCAACGAAAAAATGGAATTAACTCGTGAAAATTTTCGTGCAATGATTTATTACGACTTTCGACGTGGATTATCAAGACAGGAGTGCATCGATCAACTTACTTCCACTTTTGACGATAAAGCCCCATCCTTTACCACTGTGAAACGCTGGTATAACGAATTTAATCGTGGTCGCCGTTCGCTCACCGACAAAAGTCGTGAAGGTCGTTCAAAATCAGTTGTTGTGTCAGAAAACATTAATGCTGTGCAAAAACTAATAATGCAAGATCGCCATGTGACATACTGTGAGATTGAGACAACCTTGGGCATTAGTTCCACCAGCATATATGAAATATTGCATAATCATTTAGCCGTGAAAAAAGTTTGTTCTCGTTGGATCCCACATAATCTGACAAAATCTCAAAAAGATGCTCGTGTCGATTGGTGCAAACAAATGCTTAAGAAATACAATGGCGGTGCTTCAAAAGACGTGTATAAGATTGTAACAGGTGACGAATCATGGATCTATGCGTATGAG